CATCATCATCATCATCATCATCATCTCCATCATCTCCATCATCATCGTCTCCATTATCATCTTCATCTCCATCTCCATCATCTCCATCACCTCCATCATCATCGTCGTCGTCGTCGTCGTCATCATCATCATCATCATCATCATCATTCCAACATCTCAATCTCAATCAGAATCAAATCTCCATTTTCTGCGTGTCTTCTACATCATCATCTCCATCTTCATCTCCATCATCAGCTTCATCATGACACATCGGCAACCTTTCATGGCGCAAGACTCGTTTTACTCAACACCCCGGTCCCAGCTTGCCTCAGCCGCAGGGAAGGTGGGGCCGGCGGTCCCCGGCCGCGGGCCCTTGGCCGCCGGGCCCGGGGGGGCGGCCCGCCCCACTGGAGACTTCTATCTTCTGCTTCTCTATCTTCTTCATCCTTACTTTACTCGTGTCGTTGACAATCTCTTCAGGAGCATTTCAAACAGAAATTGCTGAAGAGAGTTCTGAGGAAGAAGTCGAATGGAGCGAGCGGCTGCAGCTGCTTTGACTCAAACTGGCTTACAGGGGAGGGATACTCCCTTGCGAAGTATTCTGCGATCAGAGGAGGCAACTCAGAGAGCAACCGCCTCCCCTGCAACATCGGTACGTCTGCCAAGCTCGGAAAATTTTTCATCCGACCCCGTCATGTCCTCGCCAGTGGCGCAATGCGAATGCTGATATCTATTCAGCTGAGGAATCAGCTAGCTTACCCTTTGGATTCATCACTGCAAGCAGCATATTCCAAGGATTCATCCAGCAGGTCCTTCATGATCTGCCCCATATGTTCGCATATATCGACGACATCGTCATCGCTACGTATTCGACCTGGGAAGCCCACGCCGATCATGTTCGAGCCGTGCTAACACGCTGTCGCGAGCATCAGGTTTTTCTCAAGAAAGAGAAAGCTCAATTCTTCCGTACTAGTGTTCAATTCTTAGGCCACCGCGTCTCCGCCGACGGCGTGACGACGCAACATTCCAAGACAGCGGCTATCTCCGCGTGGCCGCTACCGACGACTACTAAACAAGTCAAGATGTTTCTTGCAGCCCCTCTGACTGACCTTCTCCGCAAGGGCGCTTAGTTTCAGTGGACTGCAGTCAAAGCGCGTTCGACAGCCTCAAGCAAGCTATCCAACGTTGGCATTGGAGGTGTACTCTTACAGCAGCCTCCTAACGCCCCGCAAGCTTCTACAGCCGCAAGTCAACTCCGACCGAACAACGCTACCACGCGACCGAACGAGAGTTACTCGCAATCAAGGATACCATTCTTTTCTTCAAGTGACTCCATTCAAGGTCTTTACTGATCATCAAGCTCTCACGTATTTCCAGACACAGAAAGAGATCAGCAGCAGATTGATTCGCTGGCTCCAAACGCTCAGCGAGTTTGCAATCACCGAGTACTGTTACGTCAAAGGTTCTCAGAACGTCGTCCCCGACGCTCTCAGCCGTCAAGATGAAGCTCCCCTCTGGACTGCAGTCGCTCCTCATCACGAGCAACTCTCTCGCCAAGAGGACGGCTTCTTGCTCGCCTTCACCGTCAGCGCCTTGCAGCCTTTGTCCGACCAGATTCAAGCCGCCTGCGAGACGTGCGACTTTTGTCGTCCTCTTATCCAACGTCTCCGCGCCAAGTCTTCTGTAACATCTTTTCTTCTGGATGATGAGCTTCTGTTTTATACAGATTCGTTGCCTCTTATCCAACGTCTCCGCGCCAAGTCTTCTGTAACATCTTTTCATCTGGATGATGAGCTTCTGTTTTATACAGATTCGTTGCCTCTTATCCAACGTCTCCGCGCCAAGTCTTCTGTAACATCTTTTCTTCTGGATGATGAGCTTCTGTTTTATACAGATTCGTTGCCTCTTATCCAACGTCTCCGCGCCAAGTCTTCTGTAACATCTTTTCATCTGGATGATGAGCTTCTGTTTTATACAGATTCGTTGCCTCTTATCCAACGTCTCCGCGCCAAGTCTTCTGTAACATCTTTTCATCTGGATGATGAGCTTCTGTTTTATACAGATTCGTTGCCTCTTATCCAACGTCTCCGCGCCAAGTCTTCTGTAACATCTTTTCATCTGGATGATGAGCTTCTGTTTTATACAGATTCGTTGCGCCGCATTCGCCTGTGCATTCCGCAAGCATTGCGTCGAGAAGTTCTCTTGGACGCCCACGACCTTCAGTCCCACCTCGGGTTTTCAAGAACCTACCTTCAGCTAGCAGCAACCTACCTTCAGCTAGCAGCAACCTACCTTCAGCTAGCAGCAACCTACCTTCAGCTAGCAGCAACCTACCTTCAGCTAGCAGCAACCGTCTATTGGCCCCAGCTTCGGAAAGATACCGAGCTTTACATCCTGTCATGCCAGCATTGTCTTCAAGGGAAATCTTATCGCCAACGACCCATGGGTAAACCTCATTCCCAGGCCGTTCCCTCGACACGCTTCGAAGTCGTCAGTCTCGACTTGCTGACTGGACTCCCTCTGCAGGAAATCGATCACCTCCGAACAAGCTGCTCAAAAATTCATCGAAACCGTGTTTCGATCCCAAGGCCTTTCTCAAGTCCTTATCAACGACAACGCTGCTATCTTTTCGTCCAGATTCTGGAACGCGCTCTTCAAGATGCTCAACGTTCACGTGAAGCATTCGTCGCCTTTTATGCCTTAAAGCAACGGTCGACCCGAGCGTATGAACTCCGTCGTCCTCGAAGCTCTGCGTATCTACACCACGCAGTATCCTCGAGCCGACTGGGAAAGGTACCTCCCCATCCTGGAGACTCACCTCGACTCAGCTGTTCGCCGTCCCGTCGGTGCCAGCCGTCCCGTCCCTGCCGCTATCAAGTCGGAGATCTGGTTTGGCTCTCAACCGCCAACCTCAACATCCCCGACGCCGCCTCGAAGCTCAACCCTCGCTTCGTTGGTGCCTTCCGCATCCTGGAATTTGTTTCAGACAACACCGTTCGTCTCGACGTCTTTCCTCGCTTCGCATCGATCAGAAACACCGTCATCAACATCAAGTGGCTTCGTCCGCATACAGAGCGCGATCCTGCCTATCAAGATCCCCAGCGACCACCCGAACCTCTGGACACCAGAGATGGCTTGGAGTACGAGATCGAGAGCATTCTCAGCAAACGTCGTCGCGGTCGAGGTATTCAGTACCTTGTTAAGTGGACAGGCTATGATCAAGTCAGCGAGATCAATTGGCTTCCTGCTCGTGAATTGCAGCAGAAATCAGGTCTTCGCGACCTCATCCGTCAATTCGAAGAACGTGAAGCTCTTCAAGCTTTACCCTCCATCGCCCTCGACTCATCCGACTTGTCTGAAGTGGAACTTTAAATCCTGTCGTTCCTCTCCTCATGGTAAGAGCGAAGGACAAGTTGGAACTAAGTTGTCAAGCGCAGATGGAGCGATGTTGTATCCATGAGGATCCGGAAACACACGGATACTCGTCGGATACTCTGCTTGATATTCTCTATTTAGGCGGACGCTTCCTCAGCGGCCGGCTCCTGAATTTCCCCCACTTGCATGAGTGTGGTGGTTGTGCGTAGTTTACCTCCCAGTAAACTGAGAGACTTCTATCTTCTGCTTCTCTATCTTCTTCATCCTTACTTTACTCGTGTCGTTGACAATCTCTGTGTTGTGTATACAACAGCTCACATATCCATATTTTCATTTCAACAACTGGAAGCTTCCTCGCTCATGGCGAGGTCAAAGAGGCAAACTACAGGAGCTACAGCTTGCCGGATCATGTCAACATATCACCTCTTCAGTCAAGTTCTGCTCTGAACAGGTGGTGTAGTGTACTGTACGAGATAGGCGATCGCCTGAGATTCGTACACCGGCGCCATCTCCACATCCGCTGACTTGGCGACTTTCTTCTGAGCGAAAAGTTTGTAAGCCAGCAGGCCGAGCCCAGCAGCTCCGACGATGCCGCCGATCACGCCGCCGACGATGGCGCCGACGTTGACCCCAGGTGCTGGTGTTGAGGATGTGAAGCTTGCCGAAGAGGCTGCTGAGCTTGCTGGTCCTGCAAGCACCGAGAGCTTGCGCGGATCCGTCTTCCAGACAAACAGCCTCGTGCTGGAGGACAGCAGAGCAGTGTGCTGTCCGTTGGAGTACCCGCCAGCGACCGTGTCATTGAGGAACAGGTCTACGGATGTAGGCGAGGAGGTTGAAACTATCAGCAAGAGCGGACTGCTCCAGACCGAGTCGAGGACGGACGGCCTGCTGCTGATGGAGTAGGAGTAAGTAGCGCCATCCGATACCACCATGCTCTGCTGATGGACCGCCTGATCCCCCAGCATGTGACCGAAAGAGTCCAGCACGAAGACAGGTGAGCCTGGCTCGAAGGGGTCAGCTGAGCTCCCGTTGATGGCGTTGGAGCTGTTGTGGGAAGGAGACAGGATGGAGCTGTCGGAGGCAGGATCGAAGCCGTCCATCCTGTCCTGGAAATAGAGCGGATCAGCTGAGAACCTCCAAGGTTGGTAGGCAGCTGGGTAGTTGAGGCTCGGCCTTATGAGCCTCCCAGTGAACTTGTCAGAGAGGTCAACCTGCAGGAAGGACTGCTGGTGTCAATGCAGGATCAGGGTACCTCAAACCTCCGAGCATCAGCATAGTCTCGCCGTCGGGTCTGCTACCTACCTGCCCTCCTCCCATAGTTGGTGCCTTCCCGAGGAACGGGCTGGTTGCGTCCAGGGTGGAGCTCATTCGAAACATTTCTCTCCCCGAAGCCAATCAGGGAAGTACCAAAGTCCAGCCGACGTGCAGCAGCGGATCGTTTGTCGTCAAGTCACTTTGCCCAGGCTCCAAGCAGTGCGCGAGCTCGTACTCGCGAGCAGAGCTGAACCCGCTCCCTTCCTGCTCGACGTCATCGCAGTGCGGCGGTTGCAGTAGCTTCCCATGTTCGTCGCATGCATGCGGGCCTGACAACTGTCCCTCCTACCTCTCGACGGTACTCGACGCTTCTCTCTCTACCGTGGTGCCAGACGAAGCGCTCGCTGTGATCGGATGGGATGCTCGGGCCCAGCAGCCAGTCCTGCTCAACCAGGGCTTCGGGTTCTCTCCCAGCTCGCCTAACCCGCTCCGACTTGAGTTCCCCTCGGACTCTGGGCAGGCGTATCCCTGCGCGGAGGTTCTCCTGTACTTCTCAGCTGGCTACAGCTCTGACGCCCTTCAGCCTGGCCCTCTGCACTGGCCGGGCGACCTGTCCTACAACCAGAACGCTGTCCGGAACTATGCCGGAGAGGTGACGGAGGTCAGCTACATGTTCCGACCTGGCTTCATCAATGCAATCTACGGCTCGTTCAGCAACTTCCCTGTGACCACGCTCATCTCTCTTAAAGATCAGTCAGGTCGCAGACTTCTGCAGGCCTCCAGCTCAGCTCTGCTGGGGGTTGTATCAGCAGGAGGGTTCAAGGTGGGAGATTACATCCGACTGGCTGACGAGGTCATGCTTGTGAACGCGGTCAGCCAGCAGCAGAACACGCTGTCGGTCACCCGAGGAGCATTGAACACCAGCGTCGCCTCCTCCTTCGCTCTAGGAACCGTGGTCCGCACTTTCAACCCCGGCTCGGTGCTGCTGCAAGACGTCGCAAGCGACGCGACGACCATTCAAGTATCGGAAGCATCAGGGTTCAACTCGGACAGATACATCCAGGTCGAGCATGAGGTCATGTACATCACCAGCGTCGACGCCTCGTCCATGACCGTCCTGCGGGCTCAGGAAGGGACGCGTGCGAGCAGCCATGCCGCCTTCAAGCCGGTGGGCTACGTCCGTCCTTCCCAGCAGTATCCTATCGTGCTGCTGGAGGCCGTCAGCGCGAGTCAGACGACTTTGTCCGTGTCTGACGGGAGTTTCTTCTACCCGGGCGCCTCCATCCAGGTGCTGAGCGAGACCATGGCGGTCACAGCTGTCTCAGGCGACACCCTGACCGTCCAGCGAGGTCAAGAGTCGACCTCAGCTGCCGCGTATCCCAAGCAGGTGCTGGTGACGGTTGTGCAAGGCTCGGCAAGCGTTGTATCGTTTACCAGCAGCATAATACCTTCCATCAACAGATCCTCCATGAATCTCCTGAGTGACATTAGAAATGATGAAACTGATACCATTCTATATGTGATGGACCCGGTGAAGAACACGTCATCGTCCGGCTTTCAACCTGGAGATTATGTGATGGGATTAAGAGGCTCCAATTTTATCTCGGCAGAAGTGATGTTGGTCTTGAGTACTGGGACAGCTAGAGTATCAGATTATCTTTATCAGAATCTGACTGTTGCAAGAGCACAGTTTGGGACCAGAGCACAGTACACCTACAAAGGAGGCCCAATAATTTACTTATCCAGTCCGCGCATTCTCGAACAGGCGATGACGGCGACAGATACAAACCCTGTCTTCTCCAACTCTACAGATCTGCAAGCTGGAGACATGCTGTTGGCGTTCCCAGCACAAAACAATGAAGGTTTTGTTGAAGTGATAGAGTATGAGTCTGGTGGGAGTGTACTTCGAGGATTGATCCCAAACTTTGCGGGCAGGTCGCAGGCAACATCAGTATCAAAAGGAGCTGTTGTCCAGACCATTGCTCAACCGGCTTACTTGAGTCCTCCTTACTGCACGTCCAAGAGTGGGTCAGATTTGACCATGACGAGCGTATCTAGCTTCGCTGTCGGCGACATAGTGTCGGATGGCAGTGCAGTTTACACCGTGACAGCTATCAACGAAGGGTCAAGTCAGATGACCGTTGAGAGCCTCTATGTCTCAGGTGCTACTCCATCATGCTCCAACATAAATCAGTATACTCCTCCTTCATACGTAGTTAAGACAGAAGGCCTGAGAGTTTTGAGCTCTGCTTGGAACCTCACAGCTGGTGAATTGGTCCAAGATCCTCTGGCTGTCTTCACCATCCACCTGCAGACCGTGGTCTCTGATTTCTATGCACCTGGAGACTTTGTTTGGATTGCTGACAAGAGCACGCCTAGTTATGGGTGCTTCCAAGTAGAGCAAGTAGAAGACTACACCCTGCATGTCACAGTCTACACTTTACCTCGCTCTTGGATTGCACAGTTGATATTCAATTTTCAGAAAGACACAGCAGTTCTCTACAAGTACGAACGCTTCGATGTGATCAACGGTACTGCTCTCTCCCCAGGAGACATCGTGCTCTTCTCGTGGTCATTCCAAGGCGGGACAGGTCAAATCATTTCAGCCACCGAAAATGAAATTCGCATGAAATTCACTGCTGGCAGGTACAATGGAGGGCAATCTTTGTTCAATGATGTATACAATACCTTCCAGCTCCTCCCGGTGTCAAAGACGAGCTACGCCAGGTCAAAGCTTGCTCTCGCTATCAACTCCGAGGTCAACACGATGACTCTCTTTGACGCGTCCGGGTTCAGAGTGGGGGATAGCTTCACCATCGACCAAGAGGTCATGACCATAGAAAACCTCAACGGCAACGTCATCCAGGTCAAGCGCGCTCAGCGAGGCACCTCCGCTGCTTCTCATGCGCTGGACGCGCTTGTGGAATGGACGGCGCCGCTATCCGCTGCCTCTCCTCAAGTCGCGTCCGTGACCCCTTTGCTCCGACGTGACCAGCACTTGAGATACATCTCTCAGGTCGGCCCCATCACCCTTCCCAGCTCCATCCAGCAGCTCTCGAGCTATCAGAATGTCTGGGCAGAGCTCGACGAGGAGATCATCTTGATCCGACAGCCCGCCTCAGGCATCGTCAAGGCGTCTGATCGGGGGCTGAGAGGAACAGCAGCGGCGGCGCACGTGAGCAACACGACCTACAACATCCCCAACGCCTTCTTCTCCTGGCTCTTCTCCTTCAAGTCAAGCCTGCCGGGTGCATCAGGCTTCTCAGCTCTGCCCGTGTACGACATGAACGTAGCTGGGGTCATCACCTTGTCAGGGGTTCACGTGCTCTCGGGAGGTAGCAGGGTGACGAGCGAGCCGACTCTAGAGCTCACTCTCAACCGCTTCATTGAGAACGAGGCCCGAGGACAGTCAGTCGCAGGCCCTTCGTACTCATACCGCACCTTGATCCAGCAGACCTTCCTGCAGGTTGACCTCTCTGACAAGTTCACTGGGAGGCTCATAAGGCCGAGCCTCAACTACCCAGCTGCCTACCAACCTTGGAGGTTCTCAGCTGATCCGCTCTATTTCCAGGACAGGATGGACGGCTTCGATCCTGTCTCCGACAGCTCCATCCTGTCTCCTTCCCACAACAGCTCCAACGCCATCAACGGGAGCTCAGCTGACCCCTTCGAGCCAGGCTCACCTGTCTTCGTGCTGGACTCTTTCGGTCACATGCTGGGGGATCAGGCGGTCCATCAGCAGAGCATGGTGGTATCGGATGGCGCTACTTACTCCTACTCCATCAGCAGCAGGCCGTCCGTCCTCGACTCGGTCTGGAGCAGTCCGCTCTTGCTGATAGTTTCAACCTCCTCGCCTACATCCGTAGACCTGTTCCTCAATGACACGGTCGCTGGCGGGTACTCCAACGGACAGCACACTGCTCTGCTGTCCTCCAGCACGAGGCTGTTTGTCTGGAAGACGGATCCGCGCAAGCTCTCGATTCTTACAGGACCAGCAAGCTCAGCAGCCTCTTCGGCAAGCTTCACATCCTCAACACCAGCACCTGGGGTCAACGTCGGCGCCATCGTCGGCGGCGTGATCGGCGGCATCGTCGGAGCTGCTGGGCTCGGCCTGCTGGCTTACAAACTTTTTGCTCATAAGAAAGTCGCCAAGTCAGCGGATGTGGAGATGGCGCCGGTGTACGAATCTCAGGCGATCGCCTATCTCGTACAGTACACTACACCACCTGTTCAGAGCAGAACTTGACTGAAGAGGTGATATGTTGACATGATCCGGCAAGCTGTAGCTCCTGTAGTTTGCCTCTTTGACCTCGCCATGAGCGAGGAAGCTTCCAGTTGTTGAAATGAACTCATGGATATGTGAACACACGATGTGAAGCGAGAAGGAGAAGAAAGGGAGGGGGAGGGAGGAGAGGAGAGGAGATGGGAAAGGAATCGGGAAAGGGCAAGGCAGAGCAGGAGAAAGGAAGAGACGGAGGGGACAGGAAAAGAGACAGCGCAAAGACAGGAAAAGAGACAAGGAAAAATGGATGGAGTACAGGTGTGTGAGCAAGGGTAGGAGAAAAAAGTACCAGGGAATGCAGCAGATATATTATCTTCCTCATCAGTTGGAACGCCTTCAGCCCATCTTTTACAATTCTTCGCATTTGGAAAGTTTTCGTGAGAGGAAGAGCAAGGAGAGGCAGTGTGAGCCAGACGATGCCAGGGAACTACACAAGGAACAAACAGGTCCTCGTGAGGAGTCCTCTGAAGTTCCCGAGGAGAAGTGAACGGTGAAGTCAAGAGCTGAGAGCGGCCGGGCTACAAGGGAGAGGGGACGCGGCAAGATGATGGATTGTATGCAGTCACAGTAGCGAAGTAAGAGCAGGTAGTTGATTGACTTCTGAGATAAGAGTATTTATAAAGTAGAGTAAGGGATAGGAAGATAACAGAGACCGGGAAGGATAGAATAAAGGGAAAAAGTTTAAGAGATAGCGAGAAAGGAGAGTGAGAAGAGAGAGAGAATGAGAAGTGAAAGAAAGAGAGAGAAGAGAGATTAAGAGAGAGAGGAAGAGAGAGAGAGAGAGAGAGATAGAAGACAGGACCCCATGCTTATATACAGACAACCAGGGGTAAGGTCCGCCCCGAGGATGCTTCCTCTGGTCATTCCAGTTTAGGGGGCTCTCAGCCTGCCAGTAATATCTAAGGTCGATGTGATATCTGCGTGACTTCGGACTAGTACAAGTTTAAGGCTCTGTGCTCCGTCTCAAGAATAGCTGAGAGTCTCAAGAATAGCTGAGCTGAGTCTCAAGAATAGCTGAGAGTCTCAAGAATAGCTGAGAGTCTCAAGAATAGCTGAGAGTCTCAAGAATAGCTGAGAGCCTCAAGAATAGCTGAGAGTCTCAAGAATAGCTGAGAGTCTCAAGAATAGCTGAGAGTCTCAAGAATAGCTGAGAGTCTCAAGAATAGCTGAGAGTCTCAAGAATAGCTGAGAGTCTCAAGAATAGCTGAGAGTCTCAAGAATAGCTGAGAGTCTCAAGAATAGCTGAGAGTCTCAAGAATAGCTGAGAGTCGCCGGGCTCTGGTGCTTGACCGACCGATACCGTTACGGTTGAGTAATAACTTGTAAAGGCCTTCCGATACCAGCCTGAGTTACTATAAGAGAACCGGCAAGTCCGGGCCCGGCCTGGCCCGGGAACTTGGCAAGACTTGTTTTTTTATTTTACTGATGCTTGACTAGTAGTAGGGGTGGGTACAGTCAATTCATTCGTGAGCAAAGGGTACATAATCTAGTCATTTGGGGGGGTAGGGGTCCAACCTGTTCAAGTTAATTTCAATGAAAGGGATGAGGTGGGGTGGGGGCGGAAGGGAGGGGTGGAAAGAAGCCGAAGGAGTAGGGTACGACGTCTTTGTTGCGTTATCAAGGTAGGTAGTAGAGGTATGCCCGACCTGACATCATGAATGTGATGGAGAGGGGGTAGGGTTATGAAGACACGGGTGCATGAAGGAAAACTTTCTTGATATTTAAGGGGTAGGGTAGTCTTTGGAAAAGGTGGGCAATGGAGGGGCAATGTGGGTGGGGGAATATATCCGACGCCAATTTCAACTTGATGGAATCCGTGGGGTGGGGTCTGATGATGTAGGGGTGACTATGTTGTGTTCCACTCGATCACCCGTACCTTTATCTACGAATTGGTAGGTGATGGACTGGAAATGTTATTTGAATTGGGGGTAGGGGTACTTTGTCAAAGGTAGGGGTAGTACAAAGCAGGATGTTTGACCGTAGATGCTGTCGAAGGATTTGGTAAATGCGGGAAGAGGGAGAGAGGGAGAAAGTAAAATGCTCATGGGGCCAGGAACGAGCACAAGGAAGAGGGAGAGGAGGAGGAGAGAGAAGAAGAGGAACAGAAAGTCCATGTGAAGAGACAAGATACAAACAGCAGAGTCGAGCATCAAAATATGAGTGAGGATGTTGTGTTGATGAGATTGGACAAGCGAGATCAAGAGCGCGCACAGGTTTGAAGATGAATGAGGATGGAGGAAGACAGTGAGATCAAAAGGGGCCCGAAGAGAGGCATAACTCTCCTGGTTGTGACGGACGATGATATCGTGTAGAGATGCAAGGTGGTTCTAGGATGATGAGATCGTGTAGAGATGCAAGGTGGTTCTAAGAAGAATATGGAGTGAAGGATGTTGGAGAGAGAATGACAGGATGGACGATGGAGCGACTGTCTCTTTGCACGGAGAAGTGAAGCAAGAGAGATGAGAGGAGGTCAACTGAGCAAGCGGCACCAAGCCTTCGCTCCCCACACCTTCTTATTTTCTATGCTGTTGAAGCTGAATCATGAAGGCCTCGTGAGCTGAGGACTTGTTTTTGCAGGTTCAAGATGACAACTCTGGCAAACGAAGAAAGAATTCTAAGGTGTTGTCGACAAAACCACGTTGATGTTTAGAGAATTGATGAACTGACAGAGAAATGGAACGACAACTGCCCTTGTTGCAACCATATGACAGTGGGGAGCCGGTTGTCCAAGGGGTAAGTGCTGTATGGATGGAGAGCTTGTTATGATTCTGTTCCTTTAGATCATTCAGATGCATGACTCGAAGAATGTCGCGACACCGAATGTATGTCGATGAACACAAGCTGGGGCAGGCGGGAGGGAGGGAGGGAGGGAGGGAGGGAGGGAGGGAGGGAGGGAGGGAGGGAGGGAGGGAGGGAGGGAGGGAGGGAGAATATCAATGTGAATGTTGTAATTTGTAGATGGAAAGATCACGAAAGGATGGATCGTTCTTGATGAGAGCTTCTAAAAGCCCGAGGAGGAGTTTTTCATCTCAAACTTCAGCTTTAACGTCCAGGTCAGCAAGGCCTCCCAGCGATCATTGGTTGTTCTACGGGAGCCACAGGTGTATTGATGAGAAACTTGTTTCTCTCCGTTGAGATATGATGTTCAGATACAATGTTGAGAGAGACGTGGTGAAGGCGTATGAGAACCAGCTTCCGCTACTTTCCCTCGACGATGGGAACGCGGAGGAAGTACCCGGTACGAATGAGACTCGCGCGCCGTTGCTGCTGTTTTAGATGTTCGTGTACTGAATCTTTTTCCAAACAGAGGATATGAAGGTGAGAAGTCACAATCAGTATGATAATCTCCGAAGAAGCCAATCGCCGAAGAGTATACCAAGTCCTCAAAGGTTGTTGAGTAGTGTTGAGTGTGTTTGCGTCATGGTGAATGTTTCTACCTCGTCGACATTGCGTTTGTTTTCCCCATCTTGTCCTTTTACATTCTTCTTTATCCTTGTTGTGAGACATTTGTCCTATGACGCATCTCAGCACTCCACTGCACACATTGCGAATTGAATGAAATTGATTTTGTTTTTCACAACTCAACATGAATTGTGCGAGTAAGAAACACAAGTGCAATGGAACGTTTTGTAATTTCAATCTGTTTTCGACAAGAAACACACGTTGTGAGTTGTCCTGACACTTCTGCACCAGCCCAGACTCGCGCTCGTTGATCCGAATGAAAATCACTTTGTTAGACGAAGAATTCACAAACAACGAAAATTTGAGCAGACAGATCAAGGAAGAAATAGAAAACTTGCTGCCGTCGGTGGATCCTGAAAGAATATCTATCATCGTCAAATCAAAGAAGGATCTTGTCAATGTCGAGGTTCAAATTTTGGACGACCCACAGCAGACATTGGCCAGGGAGCTTTTGGCGTGCATTGAGGATGGAAAGGGAGGAGGAAAACTCCTTGCAAGCGTGCAGGTCGATCAGGTTTTGCCTGGTTTTGATTGCTTGTTGAAGTGTTTGCGTTAGGATCTGACTCTGGTCCAATCGAGAGCAGCATCACAAGCTCCTTCTCCTGTAATGATATTCATGCGATAAGGCGACAATTTGAAGATCTTCTTGTACAGAGCAAAGACAATCTCGTCCGAAGTGAACATTCACAAGATAGGAACCCTTCGATGGTGAGAAGAAATCAGTTGAGATAGGATTGTGATGAAAGTTTGCTTTTGCAAATCAACAGGCGAATATTTCAGCATGGCATTCATGGCATTCAGGTGATTTTTCACCCTCAACCTCTACTTCCTTCTTCCTCTAACGGATACAAACAAGTGACGAATCAAAACTTCAACTCGAGCATGAAGTAAGTGCAGTAGAAACGTATCTTTCTTTCTCCCTCTTCGTTTTCTTCCTCATCCTTCAGTTCTCCTTGTGTTCTACCTTCTCCCTGCCTCTTCTCCTGCAACTTGTAACTTGCATTCTCATTCCTCACGTTATTCTTTCACAGAAGTTATGTGGATTCAACTTTCTCAAGTTCGACGCGCACAATCCCCATGGTACAGAAAATGTCAAGATGCGGATAACAATCTGACGTTGTCCCCCTTCCCCAACCTCCTCTGATCCCCTCCCCTGTCTTGTTCTCCTCCTCCTCCTCCTCCTCCTCCTCCTCCTCCTCCTCCTCCTCCTCGCTTACCCTCCCACTTCTTTCTCTCTCCTCCTTTCAGACTAAAAATTTGAACGCCAACATCCATCGCGTCAGCATAGGCCGAACCGTCTACGGAGACTGGGCTGGAGTCCTCATGCTACCAACAGGACAAGTGAGATTATTGTGATGAAATTCTGTTTGAAAATTTTAGAATTTACTGCTGCTGATGCTGATTCTGATGCTGATGATGCTGATGCTGATGCTGATGACGACGATGACGATGATGATGACGATGCTGCTGCTGCTGCTGCTGATGATGATGATGATGATGACGACGACGATGCTGCTGCTGCTGCTGATGATGATGATGATGATGATGATGATGATGACCAGATAGAGATGGTGGTGGTGGTGTGGTGGTGGTGGTGGTGGTGGTGATGGTGATGATGATGGAGATGATGACGATGACAACAAGACGACGATGAAAGTTGGCTTTGATTGTGATGGAGAAGGAGGTTGTGATTCATCATTTGACGATTTCTTTCTTTCAGATCTGCAGTAGAACGCCTGGACCAATTCGGATCGAGAAAGCCGGAAGCAACGTTGTGTTTGGATAGAAGAACAACATGAAGTGATGGAAAAGACACGGGGTAGGCGGATGATGATTGGTAGGAGGAAGAGCATGAGGAACAGGAGGAAGAGGAGGAGGATGTGGAGGAGGAGGAGGAATGAATGTTTCTGATTGTTGCAGCCTTTCATTCCTGTATCTTCTTCCTCTTCGCTGCTCTTCCTCCTCCTCCCGCTCCGCTCCCTCCAAGAATCCGCCGATCCCACTCGTTCCTCGGCTTGTGCTTTATGGAAAACAGTCTCTCTGCTCGCTGACAAAAGAAAATCAACTTGATGTATCATTGTCAACACCATCACTACTTCCTGCTGCTGCTTCTGAATCTGCTCTTCCTGCGCCTCCTTCTTCCCTCCTCCTCCTCCTCCTTCTCCTCCTCCTTCTCACCTCTTGTATTGTTCCCCCACACTTGAGTCCTAGGGCGAGACAAGTTTGCTTCAGCACCTCTCCTCCAAGTTCGATGAGGTCCTGTAGATGCTCGGCCAGTGAGAAGAGAAGAACAAACTTCCAACACCATAACATGTGTGCTAGCATCTGACACGGCAAAAACAAACAGGACAACACAAAATCTCTACATGTCACCTCAAGTGAGCAAACATCCTCTACACCAAAAACATGGGGGAGCGCAGAAAACATCAAAATCAACTTCATCTGCAAACACTGCTGATATCTAACCTCAACACTCTCGATTTCATTCGGCAGAGCGTCAAGCTGTCCGCACTGTACCATCATCCTCGTCATACATGTCAGAACAGCAACGAGATCGAACCGTGATTGCAAACGGATGCTCGCTGATCGCCGTCCAGCTTTCTAGTTCAGCAGGTTGATCCTTCCCTATCCCCTTCCCTCCCTCCCTCTCTTCCTCCTCTCCCTTCTTCTTCTCTTCCTCCTCCTCCCTCCTCCTGTTCTCCTCCCACTTGTCCGTGTGCTCTTCTGCTTTGTCCTCCTTCTTGACATCTCTGTACAAAACCCTCGACACATGATTTTCATCACTCTTCTTAGCTTCCGATCCATCTTCTTTCTTGTCTTCTAAAATCTCTCTCTTCTCTTTCTCTCTCGGTTTGCAGTCTTCGACGTGTTGCAAATACTCTTCGAACGACATCAGGAGACTTTCCCGACACCTGGTGCAGGAGATCTTGTGTTGTAGTGGAGAATCGAAACCCCCCGCTACCATCTCTCCATCATACAAGGAAGCAAATCGTAATCCCGAGCAAACTTTAATCCCCCTGCAAACAGCTCGATGTCAGAAAGAACTGATGGTCGTGGTAGGTTTTCAGGAGATGACGATCTTGAAAACAATGACAAGGAGAAGGCGGCAGGAGGAGTATGAAGAGTATGAGGAGGAGGAGGAGATGGAAGAGGAGGAGATGGAGGAGGAGGAGGAGATGGAGGAGGAGGAGGAGAGTGGAGGAGAGTAGTTGTAGGAGGAGGAGGAGGAGGAGAAGGAGGAGGAGAGAAGTGGGGGTGATGGAGGAGCAGTAGAATGAATAAGGTTGAAGGAGAAGATCATGATAATGGGAGGAGGAAGGGAAGGAAGGATAGGAAGAAAGGAAAGAGCAGGCAAACGCGGGAAGGGAGGGAGGGAGAGAAGGAGGGAGGGAAAGAGGAAGGGAAAGAGGAAGGGAGGGAGGAAGGGAAAGAGGAAGGGAGGGAGGAAGGGAAAGAGGAAGGGAAAGAGCTTTTCTTGCATAATGAACGGCTCACTTACCCTTTCCTGCTCTGCAAACTTCTTGCATCGATTTCTCCATCCTGTCCCACCATCGACCTCGCCTCCTGCATACACCTCTTCATCGTCATTGAGGTCTGCGGGAGGCCCCTGACGCTGGGGTAGAGGAGCTCCCACAGGACTTTGGATCGAGAAGGGACTCTGAAGCAGCAGGCGACGGTTTGTTCCATCATGGCAGCCAGCTGCTGCCTGAGCTGCTGATCGTCAAGGGTCTTCATGTCTTGAAGGTCTTTGACTAGCTGTTGCAACTTAGCGGGAAGGAGGTCGACAGCTGCTGGGTCGGGGAGCTCGTGAGTTGTGTCAGGTTGCTCCTCTCTGAACCTCCCAGATGGGGAGGAGAGGAGGGAGGAGAGCCGGTCGGCAAGGCAATGTCGGAGTATCTGTGTCAAGTACAGCATCTTGAGGGTGATGTCCCTCTTCGCAACCTCAACTTCCAACCAGTTATCGATGAGCAACCTGGTGCAGGACGCGTTGCAGTCGATGCTGTTGGAGCAGAACAGAACGATGACGAGCAGAGGGCACTTGGTTGTGTTCATCAGCCACATCTTGCTTGTCTCCAACAGCTGAGAGTAAATCAGCACATCTGACGCCCCGACGACCGACGGGCAGGAGGAGTAGGCGCTGGTGGGATGCAGAAAGGTCTGCGGGGCCCCCTTGGTGATAAAGACAGCTTCCTCCGTCCTCCTCCTCACGTTCTCCGGGTCAGGCAGGCCGATCATAGGGTAGAAGGAGGTTGAGAGCGACAACTTGATCAGGTTCACCTGCTCCCTCCGCAAGTCGCGCATGCTCGCTTCTGACATCTCCTGTAGGTCATGCGAGAGCTCAAAGTCCAGAGCTTTCAGGTCTACCTCCTCCTCCTCCTCCTCCTCCTCCTCCACCTTCCCCTCCCCCTCCTCCTCCTCCTCCTCCTCCTCCTCCTCGCCCCCCTTCTTCCTCTTCTTCTTGCCCACCATCGTCCTGAACCCTCCGTCCAGCGTCAGCACCCGCGTCTTCCTACTCGCGTCGCGCTGCTTCTGCAGCTTCTTGAGCTCCCTCCTCCTCCACCTTCCCTCGGGATCGCTCCTCCTCACCCTGTTCCGCGCCTGAACCAGCGTCTCCTCTTCCAGCAAGCTCGCATCCTTGAGCAGGGCCGCAAACTGCTCCTTCAGCCGCGTCATCTCATATAGCCTCTGCTCCTCCACCCCGTGCCTCCTGCTCCACCTCCTCCCCGACTCCTTCCTCCCCTTCGCCAGGACCCACTCGTCGTACACGTTGAGGAGGGTAAACGGGTCCCCCTCCTCCGACATCAGCCTCCTCCTCTCCTGCTCCTCCTCCGCCCCCGGATCTAGCCGGAGGAACGGAGACTGTATGCTCATTCCAGCTGCTATCGTCATCATTTCATCCTCAAGCCCCAGCAGGCAGGACAGCACCAACATCTTCCCGATGCGAAGGTCGACAGGCAGCTGGGACAGGACGCGGCCAAGAGGCAGGATCCTCTCCTCCTCCTCCTCCTCGGTGATGAGTTGGAGCTGGCGGAGGACAAGCATGGACGACTCGACGCTGTCTCGAGGAGGAGGTTGGACCCAGTCGAACGTCCTCGGGTCCCCCAGCCCGAGCTGCTTCATCTGGAGGAGGACGGAGTCGAGTGAGACGCGGAGGATCTCAGGGATGGAGAAGTCGAGCAGATAGTCGAACTGCTCCTGGGAGTAGAGCCTGTAGCAGACCCCTGGCCCTGTCCTCCCTGCCCTCCCCTTCCTCTGCTCCGCTGACGCCTTGGAGATCCAGTACTCCTGCAGGCTGTGGACCAGGACGCCGCTATCGTAGCCCATCTCCTTCCCCTTCCCGCTGTCCGCCACGAAGCGGATCCCGTCGATGGTGACGGAGGTCTCGGCGATGTTGGTAGACAGGATGCACTTCCTGACCCCCGGGGGAGGGAGGTCGAAGACTTTGTCCTGCTCCTCAGCGGACAGCGCAGAATGAAGCTTCAGCACTATCCACCTCTTGGTCTCCCTCGCGTACTCTAGCAGGACGTCGTTGATCGCGTTGATCTCGTTGGAGCCGCTCAGGAAGACAAGCAGGTCCCCCCTCTCGCTCCTAGGGTACTGCTGGTCGATCAGCTGGAGGAGGAGCAGGTACGGCTTCGGGTCGATAGCCTTCTTCTTCTTGGTCTTGGCCGTCAGCCCCTTCACCCCCATGGCAGCGAAATTTCCCTTGCAGTCCTCCGCTCTTCTCACTTGCCCATCCTCGTCGAAGTCAACAGGGCGGTAGACGACTTGGATCGGGTAGAGCCGACCGGGGACAGTGATGACAACGGCATCGAGGTAGTCCCTGAACATGTTCGCGTTGATCGTTGCGCTCATGAGAACAAGCCGCAGGTCCTGTCTCCTCAACAGCAACATCTTGAGGATTCCCAGAAGAAAATCTCCAGTCAAATGCCTTTCGTGTACCTCGTCCACAATGACGACGTCGTACTGCGAGAGAAGAGAATCTGCAGCTATCTGCCTTAGCAGCAATCCTTCTGTCAGGAACAATATCTTCGTCTTCTCCGTCCTGTTGGATTCGAAACGGATCTGATATGCAACCTGGCTCCCATACTCGTTCAGCATTTCACAGGACACCCTGTTGCAAAGAGAGATGGTGGAAATCCTTCTTGGTTGGGTACATGCAATCGATGTGAACCCTGCTTGAACCAGATACTGTGGGACTTGTGTAGATTTCCCACACCCTGTGTCGCCGGCAATTAGAACAACCTGCGTTATCAAAGATGAGAAACGTGTTTGAGACATCATCATCATCTCCATCATCATCATCATCCTCATCATCATCCTCATCCTCATCCTCATCATCGTATCCACCACCACCATCACCATCACCTTCGCCATCGCCATCCTCCTCCTCCTCTGACCTGATTGTTCTTCACGGCGCTCACAATCTGATCTTTGAAAGCATAGATGGGCAGATCTCTCTGACTTTCTTTCATCTTCTTGATCTTGTTCAACGTCTTCCTCTGCCGAAAGTCTTCAAACATAATCAACCCTCTCTTCATCTCCTTCACTTCCTCCTCGCTCAACATGCTCCTCCCCCGATTCTTCACCATCACCGTGAAGTTGATCCTGTACCTCTTGTCATACCTCGCCGGCAAATCGTCAAGCATGTCCATAAGTCGCTTCCTCACTCCTTCCTCTCGGCATGCGAACGGCCTTGGCGGATCCCTAATCGTCCTCTCCCTCCTCTCCTCGACCTCCTGCTTCCTGTGCTTGCAGTATCTCTCGAAGAACTCCTGGAACTCGTGGAAGGAGGAGGAGGACGACTTTATCAAGGCCGCGTCCTCGCTGAACAATCTCTCAAGCTCCTCCAGACCTTGTTTGCTGCTGATGAAGTCCCACCTGACGTCCGACATGCTGCCGATCTTCAATGCAGGAGGGCAAGGGAGGGGAGGGAGGGAAGGGATGGGAGGGGGAGGAGATGGCAGGAGATGGGAGGGGGAGGAGATGGCAGGTGATGGGAGGGACGGGAGGGGGAGGAGATGGGAGGGACGGGAGGGGGAGAAGGAAGGTGGGGCAGGGGAGGGAGGGAAAGGGGGAGGGGAGGGACGAGTTTGCAGGCGAGGGAGGAAAAAAAGTAGGAACCCGGTGTGTAGATGGCCGGAAGAGGGGGAGGGGAGGGGAGGGGAGGGGAGGGAGGGAGGGGAGGGAGGAGAGGGGAGGGGAGGGGAGGGGAGGGGAGAGGAAGGTGGGAGGGGAGGGGAGTGAGTGAGGGGAGGGAGGGAGAGGAGAGGAGGGAGGGAGGGGAAAGCAGGGAGGAAGGATGTAGAGGGCAGGGAGAGAGTTAGAGCGATGAAGAGGGAGAGGAGAGGAGGGATTCAGACGGAAGAGAGGGGAGGAAGGAAGGGAGAGGAAATCGGAGGGATGGATGTCAAGGAAGGAGGGAGGGAGGACAAGGGATTCGGCCTGGAAGTAGAGGAGGGGAGGAAGGTAGAGCAATGAAGAGGGAGAGGTGTAGAGGGAGTAAAACGTCACAATTTCATTCAATCAAAAAGAATCCCCCCTCCCCGCCTCCTCCTCCTCCTCGCCAGCACCATTGTTCTTATAATACAAGCTCCAATACCTATCCTCCTCTTCAAACATTGTGCAATCGTCGCTTTGCAGCGCCGACCATGCCCAGTTTCTGTCCATCACGTCAAGCTTTCAATCCACACGTTGATGACGTACCGCATGCAAGAATTGTTTGACGGCCGACTGCACACTCTGGTACTTCCCCATGGTGAACAGAAATCCGCCGATGGCGTTAAGAATGACCCCTGTGCGACATGTCATGTCATGGTTGAACAAAAGATGTAAGCAGCAACACAAGACCATCAACATCACCTAAGATGTAAAGTGAGCTCGCGTGTACGTCTTTGGCAAGGAACTGCAACTTTGTCAATATGGAGGATGGTCTATGAACATGATTCTCAAGGTTTGATCGCAAGGAACAGAGTGAATTCGTAGTGGACAGGCACAGTTCAGCAGAACTTACAAAGAATCCGACGCCAGTCTGCTAGAAGTCAGCATCATCGCACAGCAAACAAAGTTTTCTTGCGTTCACCTGTGCTGCTGTCTTGATGTGGCCGACGAGTGAAGTCACAAGAGCAGAATTGTTGCGAATACAGAGGAACATCGAGTAGTTGAGGAAACATCTGCAACCACAGAATCAACCGTCCTCCTCCTCCTCCTCAGTCACTCTCCTTCCCCCTGTCCTGCTCCTGCTCCTGCTCCTGCTCCTGCTCCTGCTCCTGCTCCTGCTCCTGCTCCTGCTCCTGCTCCTGCTCCTGCTCCTGCTCCTCTCATGTCCTAACATACCCAAGAAGAGTTGCTCCAGCTATTGTAAACTGCAAGCCCCAGGAGTAGATCCCTTTGTCCTGCCAATCATCATCATCTCCATCGAAATCATCATCATCATCATTTTCCGTCTCTATCATCATCATCTCGATCGTCGTCGTCGTCATCATCATCATATCCATACACCCTCCTCGTCCTCTTCCTGTTCCTCCTCCTCCCTCTCCCTCATCACACAATCAGTCACCAGGTAGCTGACATCAGCGCCAGGTCGGAGCTTCCACTCCAGGTACATCATGAACGAGAGGATCGGGATAGCAAGGAGGGAATTGTGAGCCAGCAGACCGAGGGTAGGATCTACCCCCTTGCCATAGTGGAACATTCCTCCCATCCCCTGTTTCCCCTTGTGCTTCGCCTCCACCAGTATGACGTAGAGGGCCTGTGTAACGTTGGACAGCATCGCCATCTGAAGGGCGGAAGGGGAGAGGAACAGGTCCGAAGAACCGGCAAGCAAGGTTCCAAACACTATCGTCAAGACGCCGATGACGGTCATGGCTGATGTCTCCGATGCTTCACTGGCGCTACTGCTCGCGAGCTGCTCCTTCCCCGCCTCCTCGCAGGAGTCTTCCCTCGTTACTTTGACGGATACCAACGCGTCCTCTCCGTTGGAAGTTACCCCCTGTTTTTCTGTCCTACTTATCTTCTGCCTGTACTGAGATATGCACTTGGCAGCAGCTGAGATGATGATGATGAAGAGAGGAGCTGCTCGCTTGAGCACCCCGTATGTCGGGATGCTTGTAGCCTGCAGGCTTGCCAGGGCAAGGGCAGCGTTGGAGCAGTACAGGAATGAAACAGGCATGTGCATCATCAGCCCCTTCAAGGTGAAAGTAGGATATTTGGTGACACCGATCATGTTCAGTCCCAACAGGGCAACTTGCATCAGCGACATCTGAATCACGAGCAGAAACAGAGGGAAGTTGTAGTTGTAAGTCTGCGAAAGAGCTTTGTTTGCAAAGGTCATGCAGCTAGAAACCAGCCCATAGAACACAGCACTCCCAAGCTCCTTGAACATTTCTTCCTATCCACTGGCCGATGACCGATCACGCGATATCCAAAGGTTTTGTACACCCCTGAATGTTCCAGGGAGGATGCTGGGAGTGGAATCAACTCTTGCTCAAATTCCAGGTCATCCTCCGATTTTCATCTACAGCATCTGAAAACCAACCACTACAGTTATGATAGTCAAATTCGCCCTCCTCTGCACCCCCCCCCCCCTCCTCTTCTACTCCCCTCTCTCTTCTACTCCCCTCTCCTCTCTCTCTCCACTCTCTCTCCTCTCTCTCCCCCCTCTCTCCTCTCTCTCTCTCTCTCCTCTCTCCTCTCTCTTCCTCCCATCCCTTCCTACTCTCACCCTCCCATTTCGCATCCCACCTGGACCCAAAAGCAGGGCAGCGGTATAACGGATACGAAACCGTCATGGATATGCATTGTAACTGCAATAAAACTGTTAGTAACGTATTTGAAACGGTTCTGATTGGCGGCATGCTCGTGTGGTAATGAAGCCAAAGGTGAGGAGGGGAGGGAAGGAGGAGGAGGAGGAGGAGGAGGAGGAGGAGAGGAAGAAGCGATGAATACTGTGGAGAAGAGGGACGAAGGGACGAAGGAAGTGGAGGAGAAGGTGGGAGGATGGTGGGGAAGGAGCAACGACGAAGGGAGGGAGAAGGGACAGGAGAGAGGGAGCGAGGGAGGAGGAAGGACTGAGTGAATGAAGGGCAAAGAAGCAGAAGAAGACCAAGGCATCAAGGTTACTGGGAAAGAAGGATAGGCCGAAGGAAGATAAGATGGACGATAGTAGCATGCGAGAGAAGCGACATTGCCAAAATAGCACCAGGGTCCCATGGGACGGACATTGAAGTTGTATGGTAGAGCAGTGAAGATGTTGGAGAAACTTCTGTGTTGAGAGTGTTTGATGACATCGCTTGCCTTCTCTGAGATGATTGTCGCTGTTACTATTTGTGAAGAGCGGCATTTCCCACATTCTTGCCCCTCATTTCTCAGCTAGAGAGGGCGGTGTGAGGGGGTACGACCATGGCACACGGCAACGCGTGCATGGAGACATGTCGGCCGATGTTTTCAGACAAACATCAAGATGTCTGCACTGCAAGTGAACTCACTCTGCTCCTAGATGGACGCGGGATAAGGAGCTTTCTTTGGATCGCTAAAGAGTTTCGGGCCTGCACCTGATTGTCTTCCCCGCGCATTTTTCATAGTCCCTGCCATGGAGGCCAACCTGTTGGAAGCAGGGACGTCTATGGACAGCCTTTGCATTGAGGCAGGGCAGCGGAGCCCGAGGTTGGATCGGAGCAAAGAGAAGAAACAAAAGCGAGGAGTCACTTTCAAGACCTGCTCACTGCCTGGCTGGCCTGCAGGGCTTCAGTACACGCATACTCCAGGTCCCTCTCCCTGCTCTTCTTCTGACCGTCTCTATGTCCCTGTGGACCGTCTTACCTCCTGCCTCTGTCTCCGCATGCTTCCCCTTCTCTTCCTCATCCTATTCCTCTTCGTCTTCGTCTTCGTCTTCGTCTTCGTCTTCCTCGTCTTCTTCCTCATCCTCGTCACCTTCCTCCATCGCTCGCTCCGGCTTCCTCCGCACCTCCTCTTTCTCCGCTGACTCCGCTCTCACCTCCCAGACCTAGCTGGACTCTCACCTGGCGACCGGAGGCTGATCCGTATGGACTACCTTCCGGGAGTTACCATCAAGAAGATAGACGACAGGGCCCACCCGGCCTACGGACAGAATGGCCTCTTCGCCTCCATGGAGTTCACAGTTGGGGATGTGCTGGGGGAATACACGGGGAAGATTGTGCCTGGACACTGCGGAGGAAACTATGTAACACGGCTCTGGAACTCGGGGCATGACTCGGACTATTTTCGTCCTGGAGTGGATGCGGAGGTGATGGGGAACGAGCTTCGGATGATCAATGACTATCGGAGCGTTCCTGGGGCCACCGGGCCAAATTGCAAGTTTTCTAGGACGACCTTGAGAGGGTACAGAGCAGCCCTGATTGTAGCTATCAGGTTGAGACGATGCTTGTTATGCTGTTGGAGTTGCCTTCTTGATGTTGATATTCCTTTGACTCGTCCCTGACCTGCTCGCTCGCTCGCTGTCCCTTCCTCCTCTCGTTTCTTTGTTTGCATGACATGTCATCCGCGAGCTTTCTTCGTGATCTTGCACTGAGTCTTGCTTTTGTTGGATTGCAGGAATGTCGCGCCAGGCGAGGAATTCTTGCTGGACTATGGCGAGGTTTACTGGCATGGCTGGCGGCCCTCTCACACTCACTTCTCTGGCGAGTCAGAGGAGACGTATGAAGGTAGATTTTTCTAGTACCTCATTCCCTTTCTCATGCTTACTGCGACTGGCAGACGGTTCTTCCCAGAATCTTGAAGAGAGGGCGGTCAGTGCTGTGCTGCCCGAGGACCTTGAGGCTCTAGAGAACGAGCTTCGTGAGATGGTGTCGCAAGCGACCGAGGAGTCTGTAAGGGCATAGAGACGATGATAGTGCTAGCAAGCTCGAGGACTATGAGTTGATAAGTGAACGGATGGTAAGGCTTCAGCCCTGAGCTGCGTCTCGTTCCCCTACCTTCCTCCTTCTCCTGCTCCTCTCGTTTGGAGTGCATGTAGCTTTCATTCTCAGATGCAGTATGCTTGATCCATATACAGCTCTATCCCTCCGACACTCCCGTATCCCTTGCATCTTTTGTCCCTGAAAACCTCCTCTTTCGCTCTCTAGCTCTCCCTCGCGTACTTCACGCTTACCCCCCTCCCCTCCCCGCCCCCCACGATCTCCTCCGGCGTCTCCCACCCTACCATCGGCAGACTCTCCTCGCTCCAATCGTCCTCCTCCCATGCCTCTGATGCGACCCAAAGCCTCCACTTCTCCGCCTGCTCCTCCTGCTGGTCCGCGTCGTCGTCAAGGCAGAGGGCCCATGCCCCCCGCTTACACTGCGCCTTGTGCTGCTCGCGCGACTCGCCGGGTATCATCGTGAGGTCCGTGACCGTCTCCGACAGCTCTTGTTGGTCCGAGTCCTCGGGCGGCTCCCCGCCAGCACCCCACGCCTGACGTCCTCCCGTCTTGTCGGTCTCGCTGCCCCCCGACAGCGACGAGCACGTTGGCAACCATGGCGTCGCGTCATGCGGGGACGAGCAGAGGTCGTCATAGTCTGCTGGCTTAGTAGCGGCTGGGGCCTGCCTCTTGCTGCTGCGCTTCTTCCGGTACACCCGACGCGGCGCCTTGCTCCAGTTGGTCGTGATCTCCGCCCACGCCCGGTACCTCTCCCGGCAGCACTGCTCCAGCGCCTCCAGGCTCACGTCCGCCCCGAGCATCCACGCGAGCTGGCGGAGCTTGAGCCAGGCCTGCCGGAGCTCCTGGAGCTCGTGGGGGTCGTCGGGGTTCCTCCAGCGGCGGTTGGAGAAGAAGTAGCGCGCGCTGCCGCTCCTTGACAAGTCCGTCGCCTCCACCTTGTCGGGGAGGATGCAGCGGTCGCGGATCTTGGTGAAGCCGTTGTGCTCGAGGACCTTGTTGAACTCCACCTCCCTCACACCGTATTCTCCCATGACTTGGCTGTGCGAGCGGACGGCAGGCGGGATGCAGTCGCGGAGGGCGTCGTACATGGAGAGGCGGCCCTTGCGGGGGATGAAGAAGTGGCTGAGAGAAGGGACGGCGCGGGAGACCTGGGGCAGACAGGAGTCAGGCATGGGCAGGAGGAGGAGACAGGGAGAGGGAGGGGCATACCGCTTGGGCGAAGGCGAGGGCGACGGTCTTGGAGGCGGGGGAGGCAGAGGGCCGAACCATTGTGCAGGATGGCAAAAGGAAGCTGGTTACGGAATGAAGTAACTCGTGAGGGTGTGTAGTAAAAACGGAACAGAACGGAAGGGTGCGGGAATGGGTCGATTGGTGGCCGCGAGTAACGTGACAGAGGCAGATTCAAGTAAAGAGCGATATTTTCAGAAAAATAAATTCTGGTCATCGCCGAGATGCCGATGGTAACGTGACAGAGGCAGAACGTCCAGTACACCCACCCCCTCCAGAGGCAGTACACCCTCCTTCATGTACCCCCCTTGAAAGCCTCCACCCCCCCTCAGACCTAGACCTGCCCTCTATCCGAGTCAGACCCAGGCTCCACTTGAAGCTCTTTAGGCCCGGAGGCTCCTGGTAGACTTGGATGTGTCGGAGTGGCTGATTATCGGTCCGGGCCCTTCGGCCGCCGCCCGGGACTCGCCCGGCCCGGGGACCGTTGGGCTGACGAGTGCAAGACTGAGGTCGAATGACGAGTCATCCGATGATCAGTATCAGGACCCGCATCGGAACATCGACCACTTGAAACATGATCTCATCTTGCATGCCTGACAATATCAGAATCAGGCAAGAAGTATTCACACTATCCTTCCATGTCATGAGCATCCGCCATCACCGCCGCCGCGCTTTGCACTCTGCGGCTTCTCGAGTCAGTCGGAATCTTGAACTCATGCTGTGGGCATAACTTCACACAAGAGATGAAATGTTTGTGTAAAACTTCAATGTTAGAGATCTATGTTCATCGACATGAACACAGATAGTAGCTTCAAACTCTTCTCGAAAGGTAAGGACTCGGACCTCTACTCACCCCATCCGGCTCCGAGTCTTCGAGGACCCAACTTCAGATGGGAATGGACACCCGACCCACATTCAAGTTGGACGGCAGGGACTTCACGATGCTCAATACAAGCAGCCGGAGGGCTCAAGACTGAATCGGGTCCACGAAGCCTCTCGTGTGTTATGACTGACTCTAGGCCCTGATTAAAGTGTTGTTGACTAGCGATGCGGGTACTGCTCCTTACTGCTTGAGCAACCTCTGGAGTGAAATCAGCCGTACTGAGCAGATCTTAACTAACTAGTCATTTTATTGTCACCCTCGCAGTCTACTCGTCTTGACTAGTTCTTTTCTTGTCACCATTGCTGTCTGTCTTGACTAGTTCTGTTCTTGTCACCATTGCTGTCTGTGTTGACTAGTTGTTTTCTTGTCACCATTGCTGTCTGTGTTGACTAGTTGTTTTCTTGTCACCATTGCTGTCTGTGTTGACTAGTTGTTTTCTTGTCACCATTGCTGTCTGTGTTGACTAGTTCTTTTCTTGTTACCCTCGCGGTAGTCGTCGTTTCATTTAAACTTGACAATCTCCTTACACCTCTTGGCTCTCCTTACAGCATATCATAACTGTCTTTTATGCACTAGCTCAACCTTCTTGAGTAAGACGAAAGCTCAGTCACCTATAGAGAAGGGAGACTGATTCCTACGAGCTCTGACAGCATCTAATCCCATAATGCTGACACTCCTGGCGCTATTCAGGTATCAACGAATTGTTTTGCTGTCTCAGACGTTGAGCAAGATGAAGATAACAGCTGAGTGCTTTGAAACATTCAGCAGTTATTTCATGGTAAGATCCTGAATGCCTCTAAACATTCAGTAAGTGCCACCCGCGTCAGCAATGCCGTCTGGAATCTCTCAGATTCTATCTTACTTCTTGTTGCAGTGCTGGGGAATGTGGGGCTCATAGGGTTGTGGAGGGCGATATGCATCAGATTCTTTGCTTGCAGAAGGATAGAGACGAGAGGAGTTGAGGAGAGCTGAGAGGATACGTAGACAAGCTGCAGCTGCAGAGGAGTAGACTATGAAGCAGGTTGAATAGAAGCACATAAGAAGAAGAGTATGCTACAGAAAGGATTGAAGCAAGTGGACGCGGTTGGAGGTCTGAGAAGAGACAAGGTGGAGGAGGAAGAGACATGGCGGAGAAGGAAGAGACAAGTCGGAGAAGGAAGAGCAGACGGAAGACTCTGAGACTTCATTTCCGCTCTCGTTTCTTCCGCTCTGTCCGGTTGTTTTATTCGAGAGCGTCAAGACGAGCAGATAGAAATAGCGACAATCAAACAATTTGGTCTGTAATAGTTCCCATTCGCTACCTCAGCTTTCCAAAATGACACATGCACCATCAAGACAGCCAGACAATTAAAACGTGAGCATGAAGGGCGTGAGTGAAGACAGCAAGGAGACTTGACAGTGAGATGTCGATGTTGAGAGAGAAGGACAGAACGGGCAAGACAATATTTCACATGCTCCCCTCCCTACCTTCTTTTCAAATGGGTAGCAGACAAATGTAGAGGGAGGGCAAAAGGGCCAGGCAGAGCTGATATGAAGAGATAAATAACGCAGATTGGTGATCCCATCCAGTAGACCTTTCGATGAGCAACCATATCACGGTTTTCAGATGGGAAGTTTCGTTCGTTTGCGATGACGAAGGATTTATGGAAAATGCACACGAGAATACAAGAGGAGAGTCTGACGAATGGAGAGAAGGAAGAAGGAGAGAAAGGAGAATAGATCATAACGATCTTGTTAGCTTTCTTGCGCACCAAGTCATTAGCTGTGAAGTTGATCTCAGATTGTCGTGATGAATGTTCTCCACAAACGACATGGAAAGGGTGGTTGTGACTAGACTAAGTAAAGCTTCATACTGTTCACAAGATCTGCACGTTAATGACAGATAGCATTCTTCAGGTTGAAATCACCTACAGGAACCGCGTTAGAAACTAGCAAGGTTTCTTTGAGCCATTGTGTATCGTGGGCAAACAGGTTGAATCAATGAGCTGAGAATGAAGAAGAAAAGATTATGCGACGAAATGGCACAAAGTTTTAAGAATCACACCTGAGGCAAGAGATGCGAGGGTGAGAGCAGACAAGAAAACGAGCGAGAAAAGATAACGTGAACAACGAGAGAGAAAGGAAAACGTGAACAACGAGAGAGAAAGGAAAACGTGAACAACGAGAGAGAAAGGAAAACGAAAGATTGAAAGAAGAAAATCAAATGAAGAGAAGAGGAGGGAAGTGAAAAAAAGACAATGCGCAGGATGTAATGAGAGGGAAGCAAGAGCGCTTTCAGTGGAAAAGTGACAAAAAAGGGAATAGGAAAAAGAGATCAACAGAGAGGACAAGGAGGGAATGAAAACGGCATTATAAAGATGATAGGAAATGGAAGCAAGATAAGTGCACAGAAATGGCCTTGCAAAACAACAATTAAGTGGAGGAAAAATGCAGAGAAGAGCAGAGAAAAGGCGAGGAGGGAAGTGGAGAGGAGAGAAGCGACCACACGACACGAAATCAGAAGGGAAGAGATAAGGAGAGAGGAGAAGAGGAGAGGAGAGGAGAGGAGAGGAGAGGAGAGGAGGGAAGAGCAGGGAAGAAGAGAAGAGAAGAGAAGAGAAGAGAAGAGAAGAGAAGAGAAGAGAAGAGAAGGAAAGAAAAGGAAAGAGAAGAGAGAAGAGCAAAGTAGAGTAGAGAAGAGAAGAACTATCGAGTGGAAGAGACAGAAAGAAAGAGGTAGGAAACCAGGGGGAAAGAAGAGGAGAGGAGAGAAGAGAAGAGAGGAGAGGAGACAAGAGGAAAGGAGAGGAGAGGAGAGGAGAGGAGAGGAGAGGAGAGGAGGGAGAGGATAGAAGGAGAGTGAGGTCTATACAAGAGAGGAAAAGCGCAAGGAGGGGAAAGCAGAGCAGACATGAGAAAACGATTCAAACGAATAAGATAGGAGACAAGAGAGGAGACAGGATAGGATAGGATAGGATAGGATAGGATAGGATAACAAGGGAAGAGGAGAGATGAGATGAGATGACAAGGGAAGAGGAGAGATGAGATGAGATGAGATGAGAGCGCAGAGCAAAGCAGATCAGAGCAGAGGGGAGACAACACTCGAAAAGGGCTGCTAGGAAGTTCTAGATGTAATACCTCCTCCTCCACCTGCTTCCTACCATCTGTCTTCTTGAAAGCAATTTCCCAGCTCCAGGCAACCCTGCACTCGAGGAGGCACAGGCAAATGTACAGTAAAACCTTTTTCAATCTTTTACGAGAGCCCTAGCACAGCGAGCTCACCTCAGATTGGACCTACCCAAGGTAAGGGACAGCACTCAAGGCTAGGCTTGCTGACCTACTATACTCTATGCCCTCGAGAACGGGACTGCCTGAAGCCTACACCAGCAGGCTGCATGCCTGGCACTCTAGAGCCTCGCACAAGAATGGATGACAGGCTCTTTGTTCGATCGATGACAGGCTCTTTGCCTGTGTTGCATCGAAGTGTTGCATCGAAGTGTTGCATCGATGTAGCTGATGCTGTTCCTGTGATGCTGTTCCTGTATTCTCCCGTCAATGATAGGTAGCGACAGACTTGCAGGTGTCAGACATTGCTGCTTGGCGTTTGAAAATGAGGTTGCTGTAAAAGATTCATCTCTCTAAATGAAGTCGCTGTCTACAACGCTTCATCTTTATATCACTGAAACCAAACTACAAAATTTGACACCAGGCGAGTTCAGCCTTCAGGGGTGGTCAAGGAAACCATCAAAGGTGGTCAGGTCCCATACGCACGAGCGATCTTGACTCGTGCGTCTCAGCTCACATCACAGAAAAGGCCAGAAGGTTTAAGGACTCCTCCTCCATGACTCCCACACGCGATCATTACCGAAGGTTGTGTGTACAACAAGTATCCTCCTTTTGCGTTCCCTTCAGACATTCATGGTCCATCACTCAGAAACCGTCAGCCCCTTGTAACTCGTGCAGATTGCAAACAAGGCTCTGAGAAAGATTGTTGTCTGAACCCGTCGCCACATACCTCGGCTGCCGTACACCTTCCGACCTTTCAAGCTCTCGAGCAGCTTTTGCGAAAGAACACATTTGACTGGTTGGAATGACTCATGCTTGTTGCTCTAGTGCACAAGTGACAGACTGCCTACCAATCTTTATCAATCCAATGACAGAACCTCTCGTGCCTATGAAA